TTCAAGCCATTGTCTTCGCACCGAACCTGCTTGAACCCTCCAGATCATACTCATTAAATCACTGAGTATACATACGCGGGTGTATTTCTGTGTTTCGAGCCAGGCAAACGTTTGCGTCACTGCCATCACCTCCATCGTCATGCTGTTGGTTGCACGAATATCATCTGCAAATATAAATATTCTACCAACACCGGAAGCTTCTAGTTCTACAATCTTGCTTGTCTACACAATGAAGAGCACTGGTAAAACTGTAGAGCCTTGTGGCAGTCCCGTGGCGATATTACATGGTTACAAGTCCATAAGCCCAGACGGAGAGCAACACTGCGTGAATGCGGGGCAACCGCTATCCAGTTTACCAGCCAGGGACAGACCCCCTTTGCACATATCAAAATATCATATCCAACTCTAGGCATCTTCAATACCAGTTGCTGCCGCTACTGTCTCCTGTCTATTCTGGAACCCTTCCTCCATAAAAGTCAACGCTGAAACCTGAGAGTGTAGGACATAGAACGAAAGTTTAATGCAATATCAAATAAATGCCTAAGGATTGGGATGGGATGAATTCAAGCGGAGTGAAGAAATACAAGACAACACTGGCAAAAACAGTTATAAAACAAAGAAGGTGGCGCTGAACTGGACCAGTTCTGTCAAAAACGAGCAGAGAATCGCTAAAACAGACCCTAACATTGGAAATAAAGGGATTGAGGAAAGAGGGCGCCCAAACGAAACCCTAAAACGAACATTGATCAGAGAGGCCAAAGGTTCTGGCCCATCCATGAAATCAAATGGATTGCACAGGATAGAAGTGAATGAAGGAATAGATCAGCGCTATCATTCCATCCTATTATAATGGCAAAACAGGATAATGAAGAAAGACACTTGAATTACACGGGTAGCAACCCATAAGTGCTCTGTTCTTCTAACTCGTCTATGTCCGAAGAAGCTCAGCACAGTGCACGGGCTCTGTAACACTGGCGAGGATCCTGAAATACTTAAGGTAGATTTTTAATTCCAATTTTTACGTGCGCAACAATACACACAGGCGTCCGATCTCACTACCTAGAGACCAGAGGCAATTACTAAAAGTCGAAGTCTACGTAAAAAAATCCCAGCCCTTACCGGGGATTGAACCCAGAGTTTCCAGAAAAAGAAAAACCCATGGCCTAATTATAACTTGTTAGGAAGTAGCATAGGGTATCTTGACTTCACCCCATTGGATTGACAAACACCCATGATGTGACTACACATGAAGTCGTAGGTGTGTCAAGCTTTCAAGTAACAGGGAACAGAATCAGAGAACAATCAAACAAACGTAGACAAACTTAAGAAGGCAGACTTCAGGCCTCTCTTAACTCCCCTGTCAATGACGTTGTCTCAATGAGTAATCATTAAACACAAATATTGATATACGACTCAATGTGAAATGAGCTTGAATAAGTATAACTCTAAAACTAAAAGCAGAGTTTAGTTTGTTACTTTAGTCGATCATTCATCAAGCATCAATGAATTGTTCCGGTCGATAATAATAATAATTTTTTCGTCTCCAAGACTGGAATTAGAAGGGAACGTATGATGTGCGGCTGAAAGGCGCAAATATCGCAGCTCTGCTATAAACAGTCACAACGCATTTACGTCACTTGGAGGAACAAAAAAGACAGAAACCATACACACTGAATTTATTTGACCAGCTCACGGCACAACTACTAATGGTTAGTTGCTGTTGCGTATCCTTTACAGGACGTTGCAGAACCAACCCCAGCAGCCCCTGGCCGGTGTGTGGTTTGTCTAGGCAAATTTATGTCCAGTAGTTTGCCATTGCTTTTCACAACTAAAATATAACTAAATATTATTACTTTTTGAAAAAAAATATTATTAAACAATGAGACAGCCATTGGAATTGAAATAACATTAGTTTTTATAGCTCTTATTATTAATGTTCTGTTATTATTTAATTATTATTGACTCAGGTCGACCCAGTCTTGACTGTGTAGCAGGTGCAGTCCTGGGAAGTAAAGGTGGCCGGCATGATGCTGACCCAAATCACCCACCAAGTGCTGATTGGTCTATAAAATTATAGGTCTAGCACTAAATCCCAATCCCCTAAAGGCGTGGAAAATTGGGCTCTACTGGCAAATCCGGACGAAGAATAAACAGACTTGGACGACTTAGTCAGAGTTATCTCCCGTCGCCGCACTCCGAACAGTAATCGGAAAACAAACGAAACAAACGACACACTTACCTATCATCCTGCGGTTGCGTGTAGGGCTGCGTACGGTTGCGTGAGACATCGTGCCATCATCATATGGTTGCGTGCACAGTTGCGTACGGTTGCGTGAGGCACTGTGAATGGTTGTGTAGTCATCATCATGCGGTTGTTGGATTATAGTTAGGGGTAGGGTTAGGGGTAGGGTTAGGGGTAGGGGTAGGGGTAGGGGTAGGGGTAGGGTTAGGGTTAGGGGTAGGGTAAGGGGTAGGGTTAGGGGTAGTGTTAGGGTTAGGGTTAGATGTGAACATTTTGACGTAGGATTTCGAAATACTGGCCGACAATATGATGTTTGTGGGAGTGGCGCCACTGAAACTCTGCCAAATATGACGCCAATAGCGTGCGGCTGGTGCCCACAATCGTTTGCGAATTGTGCGTATGACCAGCATCCAGAGGCCCTCGATTGTTTGTGTGTGTGTATGGGACTGTGCGCGATTATAGGGAACTCCGGCGTCAAAACTGTCAAATCTAACGCTAATCCTAACCCTACCGCTAACCCTAATCCTAATCCTACTCCCTAACCCTAACCCCTACCCCCCTAACCAAGCAAATTTATCGATCATTAAAGCATACAAATCGGCAAACACGAACAAACAAAACACACCCACACAAAAAAAAAACACCCAGAATTGTCCTGCAGCGTCGAAAAAAAACCCAGATCTGGGGGAAACAACCAAGCATTGGCAGCCCTGATGTCGACGTGACTGTCTTCTTTGTTTCGTTGTGGCTTTTCCGATCACTGTTTGGAGTGCGGCGACGGGAGATAACTCTGACTAAGTCGTCCAAGGCTGTTTATTCTTCGTCCGGATTTGCCAGTAGAGCCGAAAATTTTCCTTATTGCTTAATTTTTATTATTAATTAAGTTATTTATGTAACATATTTATTATTATTCTTTTTTTAACGTCTTTCTAATTTCTTTCCAAAGCAAGTTGACCACATCACAATGTACCAAATTCTTATTATTTTTAATTTATGTTGGTATTTTTCCCCTTGAGCTTTTTCCTCAATTCACCTTTCCCTAAAAACACGAAGCACAGTCTCCCATAAACATATGTGCTATATTTTTGGGATAAGTTCAACCATTGATCACCAAACTATACTGTCAGACCACCCAGTATTTTCTGTCTACGCATAGAATGCCTAGAAAGTATTTCACTAGAAGGTTGAAACAGATCTGGTAATCTGGTAATCTGGTAATCCTAGTTTCAGCTTCATAGCAAACGGGTCACCCCACACATGCTCCGCTCCTGTGCCAACGAAAAACAAACGCAGCTCACAGTGTCACGCCATGCACTCAACTCAGAAGCTGGGCGACGAAACTACATCCTTCCAGTCTACAAATGGAGCAAAAATGCAACGGCCACCGTCTGGAAAAATATTTGCCACGGCTTTAAAAAAAAAAAAAAAAAAAAAAAAAAAAAAAAAAAAAAAAAAAAAAAAAGGTGGCCGTACCTAGCGTCCATTTTGACCGGAAGAATTATATGAGGGTTAATAAACGGTCACCCCAGCAGTACCCTCATTATTAGCTGGGGAAGGGACTTAGGACATTACATCCACCAGCAGGCGTCACCCCTACAACGACCTGCCTGCCCTCGTTAACGACTGTTCACCCAACAGCCATGCAGTTCTTTGGCACGAAGGAGACACCTTGAACTTGGGTTTCGTACTGCCGACTCCCTACTAAGATGTTATTTTATGTTCTGTTATCACAATTAATGTCACTGCACATTGGGCATACCCATGCGTGCTCAGTTCTCCGAAGCAGCAGATACATGGGGAGACCGGATAACACATGGAGAATAAAGGTTCTCTACACAGTGAACTCTGTCATCTGCAAGGATCCCTGTGTGTGTGTACTGGGTCAGTAAAAAAAAACCACTACCCTTAAACAAGCATGTTGTAAAAGTCAACAAATAAGAAGAGTGGTTTTCAACTTTTCTAATGCTGCCACGCTTTAATACAGTTTCTTATGTTGTGGTGACCCCCAACCATAAAATTATTTTTTTTGCTACTTCATAACTTCAGTGAATACGCTTTCCAATGTCTTAGGTGATCCCTAATGGGTCATTCGACCCTTAAAGTGGTCACGACCCACAGGTTGAGAACTGCTGAAATAGTGTCTCCTTTAAAGGCGAAGTATATCCACCTGAGAGGTGAGGGACCAACAGTCTGCATACAAATAAGCTATATCTGTAAAACAGATGATCACGCAGAACTTAAGTTCTCAAACAGTGCTTAAGTCCAGAAAAAAAAAAAACTACCAGATATGCCCACTGGACTTTACAGCCAGTAAACATGCGTAAGAAGAAGGAGTGCCAAAGCATTATTATTTTAACTCTATTGATCCCAAGGTGATGAGCTTAAAAGCAAGAAATATTTATATCTATTGGAGTTCAGTAGAGACATGATGGAGCAGAGGTGGTTAAATTAACCATTCTGATACAAAGGGTTAATATAGCAAGAGTCTGTGATAGAAGACAGCAAGAATTTAGTGTTGTCTTTGGAATGACCAATAAATGTACGGTGCTATGCTTAGAATCTGAAAGAGTTAATGGTCTTTTGATGTTTTAACAACATTCAGTTGTTGCACTATGCTATATATTTGGGTAAATTGTATACTTTACAAACTGTTCTTTGCATTTAGCTACTGTTTTAATTGAGTTATCTTCTGTTTTCACACAGAACGGCTGTAAGCTGATTTTTCTGTTCATGTTGTAGTTCACTTGACTATTAAAAAATGTCGGTGAATGGAAAATCAAAATCTGTCACATCAAGAAATCCAGACTACATGAACATATTGTATACGGACTCAGAAAGTGACAGTATACCTGACCTGAAACTGCCTCCAATCAAAGGCAAGAAGCTTCGGAAGTGAGTTTGTCAGTTCTTTAGCTGATCATTAAATCTTCTTTTTCATCTTCTCTCTTCTTCTTCCTTTTCCACCCACCCCCATTTCTCCCCAGTTGGCTCTGTCACTAACAGGTGTCATTATGTAATTTATTTATTTCCAGTAAGATTTGTCCTGGGTTTGTAATTGAAATGACTACATCTTGCAACCATATTTTCCCTAGCTGTAATGATGAGAATTCCCAGGGAACCCAGAGAGTTTCCCAGTTTAGAGGACACGGTCAGAAGGCCAGAAAAACGAGGGACACGTGGGAAAAGCGTGGCCAGAATATCCTGTGTTCTGTAAATAGGTGTAAGGGAAAAGTGTGAGAACGGAGAGATGATGTAGAGTCAGTGGTGTTTTGACCGTGTGAGAGGCAGGTTGGTGTGACTGAGGTGAATGTCATTTGTGAACTAAAAGAACGCCGCTTTTCTAAGCTAGGAATTTCTGAAAAAAATTTATTCTGAATTGCAGCAACTAGTGTCTGTGGACATCTGTGTTACTGTAATTCAGATGCCAACACCCAAGTGAATGGAACATTCTGACTCTACCTATTTAGTTTTTTATCCTGTTATGCCAATCAGTCGCGAGCAAGTGTCAATAAGTGGTGAGAAAATGTCAACCAGTCGTGAGCAAGTGTTAATTACCAGGGACAACTTTGGACATTGACTGAATGACTTATTTGTTGTCCCACAATAAATGGTATCAACGTCGTCGTCGTGTTTCAATTAGACTATAATGTGTACAGACTTTACAGCATAATTTAGGCTCTTATGAAGTCTAGATAGCAGAACAAGCCATAGAGCCATACAGCAACATTATTGCACTAGCCCTCACAAATACCAGTGCACTGTACTGTCTGCAAAGTAGTAGAAACTCCCTGGAGGAGTGAGCACAACAGGAGTTTTCCAAGTTGATATATGGTTTCCTTCAAAGTCAAACCAGCACTATGCACAGAAATAAGCTTGGAACAAAACCAAAGTCCAGAAGTGGATGAACAACCTGCCTGAGTTTACAGCCTACACAAAAAAGAAGAAGCAGAAGAAGAAGAAGGTATTGGTTATTGTCATCACTGATTAGGGGCTGAAGATGCAAAATGGCTAGATACTTGCCTGCCTGCCTGCCTGAAGGTCTTAGGTTCAAACTGGCATCAAGTTTTTAAAACTGACTTTGGCTTGTCAATCAAACATGTTTAAAATTGTTACCAGGAATTGTCCATGGGAAGTCAAAATCAGTTTGCATGATGTTGACCTCATTCTTTGAATACCAGTTGGTCTATCACATCATATCCCTGCCAGTGGCATGAAGACTGGTCCTTTCCGTTTTTCTTTTATGTGCATTGTGTGAATGTGAGTAGGAATACATCTGTCTACATGAGTGAGAACACGTCTCTTTATGTGAGTGAGAACACATTTCTGTGTTGAAAGGGGCCGAATGTAAGACGGGCCTGCTGCCCAATTTGTGACCCTTTAACAATAAAACTTGTTCCTGCTTTCATTCTCTTTTTAGAGCTGCTATGGTATAGCAGCTAGATACTCTGCTTGCCATCTCAAAGGTCTTCAGTTCGAATCCACATCAAGGTAGATTATTTTTAAACACGACCTTGGCTCCAAGGTTGACCTAACCTAAAATGGATCAAAGGTAAAGTCTAGGGAAGTAAAGGCAGCTGGTGTGGTGTTGACCACACCACCTATAGAGTGCTTATTGGTCTGTAAAATGTGAAAGGCATTTGCATTACTTTTACTTACTTTTCTTTGACACCACTGATTGTTTCCCCAGAAGGAAAGGCGGTGGTCAGCGATCAGAGAACTTATGCTGCGACTTCTGGACAATGGTCAAGTTGATCACGGCAGTTGTGGTTTTCATTGTTTGGATTATTCTGTCAGCCATGTCTTTCTGGTCTCTCAGACGCATCAGCGAGATGCAGGAACAGATCTCTGCCTGTAAGTAAAAACACATTTCTGTCTATGAGTGGGAACACATCTCTGTATGTAAATGAGGTCACATTTCTGTATGTGAGTGAGAACGCATCTCTGTATGTGAGTGAGAACACATCTCTGTATGTAAGTGAGGGCACATTTCTGTATGTGAGTGAGAACGCATCTCTGTATGTGAGTGAGAACACATCTCTGTATGTAAGTGAGGGCACATTTCTGTATTTGAGTGGGAACACATCTCTGTATGTGAGTGGGAACACATCTCTGTATGTGAGTGAAAACACATCTCTGTATGTGAGTGAGGGCACATCTCTGTATGTAAATGAGGTCACATTTCTGTATGTGAGTGGGAACACATCTCTGTATGTGAGTGGGAACATATCTCTGTATGTGAGTGGGAACACATCTCTGTATGTGAGTGAAAACACATCTCTGTATGTGAGTGGGAACACATTTCTGTATGTGAGTGGGAACACATTTCTGTATGTGAGTGGGAACACATCTCTGTATGTGAGTGGGAACACATCTCTGTATGTAAATGAGGTCACATTTCTGTATGTGAGTGAGAACGCATTTCTGTATGTAAGTGAGGGCACATTTCTGTATGTGAGTGAGAACACGTCTCTGTATGTGAGTGAGAACACATTTCTGTATGTGTGTGAGGGCACATTTCTGTATGTGAGTGAGGGCACATTTCTGTATGTGAGTGAGAACACATTTCTGTATGTGAGTGAGAACACGTCTCTGTATGTGAGTGAGAACACATTTCTGTATGTGAGTGAGGGCACATTTCTGTATGTGAGTGAGGGCACATTTCTGTATGTGAGTGAGAACACGTCTCTGTATGTGAGTGAGAACACATTTCTGTATGTGAGTGAGAACACATCTCTGTATGTGAGTGAGAACACGTCTCTGTATGTGAGTGAGAACACGTCTTTGTATGTGAGTGAGAACACATTTCTGTATGTGAGTGAGAACACGTCTCTGTATGTGAGTGAGAACACATTTCTGTATGTGAGTGAGAACACGTCTCTGTATGTGAGTGAGAACACGTCTCTGTATGTAAGTGAGAACACATTTCTGTATGTGAGTGAGAACACATCTCTGTATTTGAGTGAGAACACATTTCTGTATGTGAGTGAGAACACATCTCTGTATGTGAGTGAGAACACATTTCTGTATGTGAGTGAGAACACATTTCTGTATGTAAGTGAGAACACATCTCTGTATGTGAGTGAGAACACATTTCTGTATGTGAGTGAGAACACATTTCTGTATGTGAGTGAGAACACATCTCTGTATGTAAGTGAGAACACATTTCTGTATGTGAGTGAGAACACGTCTCTGTATGTAAGTGAGAACACATTTCTGTATGTGAGTGAGAACACATTTCTGTATGTGAGTGAGAACACATTTCTGTATGTGAGTGAGAACACATTTCTGTATGTGAGTGAGAACACATTTCTGTATGTGAGTGAGAAACTGTATGTAAGTCATTTCTGTATGTAAGTGAGAGAACACATTTCTGTATGTGAGTGAGAACACATTTCTGTATGTGAGTGAGAACACATTTCTGTATGTGAGTGAGAACACATTTCTGTATGTGAGTGAGAACACATTTCTGTATGTAAGTGAGAACACATTTCTGTATGTGAGTGAGAACACATCTCTGTATGTGAGTGAGAACACATTTCTGTATGTGAGTGAGAACACATCTCTGTATGTGAGTGAGGGCACATTTCTGTATGTGAGTGAGAACACATTTCTGTATGTAAGTGAGAACACATCTCTGTATGTGAGTGAGAACACATTTCTGTATGTGAGTGAGAACACATTTCTGTATGTAAGTGAGAACACATCTCTGTATGTAAGTGAGAACACATTTCTGTATGTGAGTGAGAACACGTCTCTGTATGTAAGTGAGAACACATTTCTGTATGTGAGTGAGAACACATTTCTGTATGTGAGTGAGAACACATTTCTGTATGTGAGTGAGAACACATTTCTGTATGTGAGTGAGAACACATTTCTGTATGTGAGTGAGAACACGTCTCTGTATGTAAGTGAGAACACATTTCTGTATGTGAGTGAGAACACATTTCTGTATGTGAGTGAGAACACATTTCTGTATGTGAGTGAGAACACATTTCTGTATGTGAGTGAGAACACATTTCTGTATGTGAGTGAGAACACATTTCTGTATGTGAGTGAGAACACATTTCTGTATGTGAGTGAGAACACATTTCTGTATGTAAAGTGAGAACACATTTCTGTATGTAAGTGAGAACACATTTCTGTATGTGAGTGAGAACACATTTCTGTGAGAACACATTTCTGTATGTGAGTGAGAACACATTTCTGTATGTGAGTGAGAACACATTTCTGTATGTAAATGAGGGCACATTTCTGTATGTGAGTGGGAACACATTTCTGTATGTAAGTGAGGGCACATTTCTGTATGTGAGTGGGAACACATCTCTGTATGTAAGTGAGGGCACATCTCTGTATGTGAGTGAGAACACATCTCTGTATGTGAGTGAGAACAGATGTCTGTTTATAAGTGAGAACACATTTTTGTATGTGAGTGTGGGTAAATTCTTTGTTATCCAAAATGAAGCCTTGGAACCCACACACCGACAAATTTGGTCTATGCCCCGAGATTGAACCAGCCTAAAAATTGATACCAGGAACAGTTTTGATACGTAAAGTCTAGGGCAGCTAATGTGATATTTACGGCATTACCCATTGAGTGCAGACAGGTCTGTAAACTTGGGCAATCATGATGTGCCCAGTAAGTCTCAAGGTGTCTCTTCTTCTAAATGTCAGCGCCAGAGGTGTTAGTAGTCTATCCACAACCTTCTGTCTCGTGTACTTTCAGTCAGCTGTGACACAGATGATACTGACTGCCCAACATCTCCTCTCTCTCTCTCTCTCTCTCTCTCTCTCTCTCGCTTTCTCGCTTTCTCTCTCTCTCTCTTTCTCTCTCTCTCTCTCTCTGTCTCTCTCGTTTAATAAATTGGTGGTCTGTTGTTTATTTTTTACTTATTAAGCTTTGACATTTTTTCTTGTTTCATAAGTTGTACTGAAAACATTTTTTTGTTGTTGCTATTTTGTAAGTTAATTGAAATAACATGGTTGTTGTTACTGTTTCTTATGTATGTACTCCTTCTCATGTAGGTTTAGACCCCTCCTTGGAGGGGGAGGGGAAAATGGACCCACTGTCCTCTGCCCACCAACAAACATGTCGTAAAAATGGACTAAATAAGGGTAATGCCCCTTGAAGTCAGAGTGCATCTGCCTGACTGGCCAAGAATCAGCAGTGTGTAAAATGGATGTGCATGCAAAACGGAAGTTTTGGAACAAGACCAAGAGTCCAGAAGTGGACAAACCACCAGAACTTTGTGTCGGGGTTTACAGACTGTGAACATGGAGAAGAAAATGCATTGTACTGAAATTATTTTGTTGTAGGGCTCCACCCAGCTGTGTAAGTTGATCTGCTTCCTCATTTCCCACTATGCTGCAGGAGGGTTGGTATCAGTTGAATCATTTGTTTGTTGAAAAACTCCACCCAGCTGTAAATTTAATTGCTTCCTTGGTATCTTGGGGTGTGTGTTACAGGAAGCTCGCCTTTATTTGCTCATTCTTTCTGTCTGTACGTCTGCCTTGCTGTGTGTCTGCGCTGTTTGCATATTTTTGCACGTATATATGAAACTGTATTTTTTATCTTACATTCATACTATGAATTTTGATATTTGAACATAACAGGCTTCATATATAAAATATGCAAGATGACCCTGCAAGTCCAATCTGTAACCCTTTGGAAATAAAGCTGATACTTTTTTTTTTAGTTCATCCCATCTCATGAACTCCGAAAGTCCAGTATTATAGGTGGGGTTAGTGTTAGTCGGTGCTTTGTAATTCCAGAATGCCAGGTTGAATCCCAACTGCATGTGATTTGACAGCATACCGCCTAGCGTTGATTCTGATAATGGAATTGAGATCCAGCCATTCAGGTAGTAGTGGCAAACAACTGAATGTAAAAAGGCCTAATTCAATCCAACAGCCACAGAATGCTAAGATTTGTTTTGCAAGATCCTGTAAAGCAGTGGTTTCCAACCTGGAAATGGTGGGGCAGGGGGAGGGGATGTGAGCAAGTATCAAGGGGGCATCAAGCAGTTGTGAAAGTGAGTGCATTTGTACTCGTAACAATCCGTTATACTAAACATTTTGTTTTCATTTCATTATCAATAAAATATTTTTGAAAACTATTTATTATAAAAAACTACAAGGACATTTTTGTTTTCATGTACATGTGCTTTAAAAAATCTCATTAATATGATAACACTTGCATTTAATTGTAGAGTAATAACGTATACTGACCAAAATGTATCTCCATACTTTCTGTTTCTCTTGTTGTGGAATCTTATGGACAGCGTTGAAGGTCTTGCTATATGCTCAGAGGGGCCTGGTGGGCTTGCAATATACTCAAGGGGGCGTGGGGATCTTGCCATATACTCAAGGGGTGCGTGGGGATCTTACCATATACTCAAGGGGGGCGTGGGGATCTTACCATATACTCAAGGGGGGCGTGGGGATCTTGCCATATACTCAAGGGGGGCATGGGGATCTTGCCATATACTCAAGGGGAGCGTGGGGGGGGGGGGTTGCCACATACTCAAGGGGAGCATGGTGGGCTTGCAGTATACCCAAGGGGGTGTGTGTGTCCATATACTCTACCATATACTCAGGGGGAGGGGTTCTGCCATATACTCAGGGGGGCATGTGTGTCCTGCCATATACTCGGGTGACATGCAGTGGGGATCTTCTTCTTCTTCTTTGTCATTGGCTTCTTCTTCTTCCCCCACCCCCTCCTTCTCTCACTTCTCCTCATTTTCTTCTTCCTCCTCTTTCTATTCCTCTTCTTCTGCTGTTATAAATAGCAATATATAGTAATGCCATTGTTTGGATAAATGTATACATGTGTACTTGAATAAGTGTAGATTTTTGCACCTGAAAAAAAAAAGCATTTATTGAAATTAAGCTCTTTAGGCGTCTTTGGTAACAAAAATGTATATAAAACACTTTCTTATATTTGGTGAAAGACGGTAATAAGTGTTGGCTTTGGCGCCTAGCACCTTTCATATGCATTTACTGCGTGCGCATATTTGTGGATTGTGACGGGACTATTTTTTTTTTTTTCCACCAGTTTTTAAAATGGGACATTGAGGAGGGGCATTTTCATTGGATTTTTACAGGCACGAGAATGGAGCAAGTACTGCGTGACCCGATTGCAATGAAGTTAAAACCTCCACTAAGAGTCTTGAAGACTAACACTAAGTAAATCAGTCCTTTGAAGAATGTGTCTCTTCACGGCACGAATCTGTCTCTTCACGGCAGTGTTCTCCAGCCCTATGTGCTTTCATTTCGAATGCATTCACAGTATCCTGTATCCTCGTTCGCTGAGGACGGCCTATCTCGTTTTCTGTCTAGAAGCTGATATGCTTTGGGTTAGAAGAGGTTATATAATAATAATGACACTCTAAGAAAAGAGAAGTTAAAAAGAAACCTGTTGGAGCTGAAAGTGTTAGTAAAACAATCGGAAGTGGAATAAGAGTTAATAAAAATATATATGGTTAAAAGGACGCCAACCAAACGCAGGATGAGTTGCTTAGTATTGAATGAGTTGAAAGCGAAGGCAGAAAAAAAAAGTAGATACTGCGGTTTTATACACAAACAAATCTCTCATCCAGTCCAGGATTTCCCCTACATGACGTCTGCTGCCAAACATGGACTCCGTGTTTCCTGTTGTTGGATAATTCTATGCGTTTTCTAAGGGGAATTATCTCCGTCCTGAAACAATACCCTCCGTCTCTCCGTTGCATGAATAGGCTTAGATTTCTAACACTGATTTCACGGGATGTCTGATAATATTTTATATAATAAACGAGGAATAGGGACTTGTAATTGTGACGTTTGTATTTCCGCCAATGTCTAGATGTCGGGGGACAGTAAATACTAAAATCAATCTCAGCGAATCTGTAATGTTGTTAATGTTATTTTCTAAATCACTGCCGAGACTGTAGTTACATTGTAAAATAAACAATTGAATTCCACGTACACACCCACGGAATTGTTTATCCGTCCACGCAGAACTTTAATAAATATGAATTGAAAGGCATCAATGAATGCCCACAGTATTATGCGAGACATACACGCAGTAGTAGTATATATAGTTAGTTAATGGTAACAGTATATAAATAGAAAACTATTATGAACGGACGACACACAACCGAACGTTTGTTGACTAGTAATTATTAAAGCTGGGTTTCACGGCAAAAATCCTGGATAAAAGTTACTCCCTGCTGCCCAGCAGCAGCCAGACGGGGGATCACACGGACAAACGAACAGAGATGAAAGGTCAGGTGGACTACAGGCTGCCAAAGAAGATGAAGAAGCGTAGGCAGCTGGATGCACTGGTAGATAATGTTAAACTACCCCGTACCCGTAAGAACAGTGCTAGTGTGCAGGAGCTGTTGGACTCGGATTCATCCGAGAATGATGAGTTCTCTCTTCCATCTTCTGGCTCAAAGAGGAAAAAGTAAGGCCACTACTTTCAGCGGTGACCCTAAGGGTTGCAATCTGTTGTTTGTTTACGGCGATTCTAAGGGGCACAAGCTCCCAGATGATCGGGCCAGCATAGGGCCTAGTCCACAATCGACCATTCTGCCAGCTTCGACTACCTCATTTTCCCATTACGTGCTCGCTAAACGAGTACTGGGACTCACGAGCCATCTAGTTTTATGCAGCTTCCTCATTTTATTTGCACGTGATCGCGCATCATAGCGCACATGGAGATACTCTCGGCGGTGACGGTATAGTCCCGGGAAGTCCCGGAAGTCCCCAATTGAACACTTGTGGACTGAGGCCTACGCCTGTTAGGGTGTACTTTCGGCTTTTTAGATGCTATCCCCCCCCACTCCTTCATATGGGAACCCGTTATTTGGAAGATAGCTGAATATTATTATGTGGTCTTGCACAAACAAAGCATTACGTCCCCTAGGTACAGCGTATAAAGTTTATGAGGTTACAATAATTTGCGTCCTTTAGATTCGCAGTTTGAAGTAGTGCAAAAAGTAACTTTGTTATCTTATACATTAGAGATTTTGGCATGCATATAGGGTTTTAAAATGTAGTAATATTAAAAAAAAAATTTTAAGGGCCGTTTTTGCCCCTTCGGGCATATAGGGCTAGATCCATATTTTATAGACTAATGAGCACTAGGTGAGTAATGTGGTCAACATCACACTGACTGCCTTTACTTCCAAGAACTTTACCTGGTATCTGTTTAAGGCTGGGTCGCAGAATTTCAGTTACTCTTATCTTTCCGTCCTCGGCAGCTCTTCTTCACTTCCTCTTTTACTGCTTAGGTGTCATTCAGCTGTGCAGTGCTGCATAAGAGCTATCATTCACTGGTGCAGTGCTGTATAAGAGCTATCATTCACTGGTGCAGTGCTGTATAAGGGCTATCATTCACTGGTGCAGTGCTGTATAAGAGCTATCATTCACTGGTGCAGTGCTGCATAAGAGCTATCATTCACTGGTGCAGTGCTGTATAAGAGCTATCATTCACTGGTGCAGTGCTGTATAAGAGCTATCATTCACTGGTGCAGTGCTGTATAAGAGCTATCGTTCACTGGTGCAGTGCTGTATAAGAGCTCTCATTCACTGGTATAATGCTGTATAAGAGCTATCATTCACTGGTATAATGCTGTATAAGAGCTCTCATTCACTGGTGTATTGCTGTATAAGAGCTATCATTCACTGGTGCAGTGCTGTATAAGAGATATCATTCACTGATATAATATTGTATAATAACTATCATTCATTGGTGTAATGTTGTATAAGAACTATTATTCACTGGTGAAGTTCTGTATAAGAACTATAATTGAGTAGTGCAATGCTGTATAAGAACTATAATTGAGTAGTGCAATGCTGTATAAGAACTATAATTGAGTAGTGCAATGCTGTATAAGAGCTATTGACACTCAGTGGGAGGTGGGGTTAGCATCACACTATCCACCTCTGCATCCCTGGACCCTACCTGGAACCTGTTTTAGGCTGGGTCAACCTGGGAGATAAGGCATTCTGGAAGAGAAAATGTGGCTCGATGAGGATTTGAACTCATGACCTTTGGGCCAGCAGGCAAGTGTCTAACCGCGACACCTTAGCTGCTGATTGTGGGTAGCTTTGATAAATACTTTGAGAATACAGCAAATTTTAAATGTTAGAAGTTAGTTGCGTATCCTTTACAAGACATTGCAGAACCAAACCTAAAAACCAACGCAAGACAGATCGTCTGCAGCCGGGATCGAACCCGGCACCCCAGCATTAAGAAGCGCTTTTGCAGGGCCTACGCCAGCAGATTTTTAATTGCTTTGATAAATGCTATAAGAAATTAATGTAGATAAAAAGTATAGATAATTCAGTCCTGTTCTAATAATTTAGGAAAATGTTTCTATTTTTGGTAAATACTTTGAGAAAATAGCGTATTTTTCTGTGTATAAGACAAACCCCCACCCCCCTTTTTTTTAAGCTTAAAATAAGGAAATACATTTTTTAAAACACATTTCGTGTATAAGACGACTCCCGAGTTTCAGAGTTAACACATTTGGGAATACATATCTTCTTATACACGGAAAATACTGTAGATAATTCTATTTAGCGTTGATAAATACCGTAAGAAAATAAGAAAATCTAAGCCTAGTCATGTGTAAGCAAGTCAGTCTGTGATTTATACATCTCATCCAGCCGGTGCTGCATGTGGCAGAGCATCGCGGCTCAGATCGGGTTATTCATGGTGACCACTGCATGTCTGACAACTTGTGTGGGGCTCGTCTGGGTTCAGTGGCACATTCGGCATGAGCTCGACACTCTCAGGAAACAGGTGTTATCAGGTACAGCTCCAGCCAGGTGGTGCAAACTGTCATGTTTGATGAATGTTGAAAATATAAATTTAACTGCGGTTATATTATTTTACGCCGGCAACACATTTGACTAAATTAGGAGAAGAGTTTGGATATCAGCATTTATTTATTTATATATGTTATTGCAACATTCTGTGTATATGACACTCCCCACCCCCTTCCAGTTTTAAACTTTAAAAATGCGGAAAAACATATCTTAAAACACATGGGAAATGTTGCTAAAATGGAGTTTCATGGCACCAAAAAAGATAATGTGTACAAAAAAGAAACAGAGCAACACTTGTCATCATTGTCCTAATTGAGATGATCACATCATTGTCTTAATTGAGATGATCACATCTTTGTCCTAATTGAGATATGATCGTCTTAATTGAGAGGATAACATCATTGTCCTAATTGAGATGATCATTGTCTTAATTGAGATGATCACATCATTGTCCTAATTGAGATGATCATTGTCCTAATTGAGATGATCATTGTCCATGAACTAAAGAGTAATCAACTATTTCAGTGGAGAACTCCAACAAGGCATCCACAGAATTGTTGAAGTTCCAGTCCCAGCTCGCTGAGGTCAACACCAGTGTCGTGGCTGTCAAGACTGGACAGGGAGGGTTGCAGGAGATTACAAACACATTTGTAGAAGTGCAGAAAAAGGTACTCTTTCATAGTTCTTGTATGTCTTTATGTAGATCTGCTTCTTAAAGTCCCTGTTGTGTGGCATTGGTAGTCATGTCTTTCCAAAACCTTCTGTCTCGTGTACTTTTAGTCAGTTCTGACACAAATGATCTTCAGTGCCATGATGTCAAACTGTCCAGCATCTTTTCTCTTGGTCTTCCTCTGCCTATTCCTCCTCCCCCCCCCCAACTTTCCCACCAACGTGATGTACTCCAATTTTCTCCTTCTCATGATGTGACCAAAAAATGTAGTCTCCTTCTGATGTGGGCAATCAGTTCTCTTCCTTACTTGAAATGAAAAGGATCAGCAGGACACGGGGTGAGCTGCATGCAAAAGTGAAGGATAGAATGACTAGGCATGAGTTCGTTAAGGCCTATGCTCCATTGGGGGATTGAAGGCCGAAGAAGAATCAACTTACTAAGGCATACTGTGTGGAAGTGATTTAGCCTTTTAGGCTGATGCTGGCAACAAGTTCTTGTTTCGCCTGCTACATTACAGGAAGTACAATTGCATTACACATTTGCAGCTTGTCCACAGGTAAATGCCATTTTGTTTCCAGACGTTAGTGTATAGGGACAAAAGAGACCCACAAGCATGCTGTAAAGGGCTGCTAAGGAAAGGTTTGCAGAAGTTTGATTTGTTAAGTCTAAATGCGCAGATTTTGCAGCCTAGCTGTAAACCACAACACAACCTGCCAACTGCCCATTTAAAGGCCAGAAGTTAACCAGGTGTCAGTGGGTATCATCGGAATGGAGATTCTACGCAGACTGTTGTGGAGGGTTACGGAGCTAATTCAGGCTTGTCATGAATGCTGTTGCAACGAACCTGCCTTGCAATAAATCTGCTTTCTGCCACGATTCGGCTTTATATGATTACTGCAACATAGTAACTTGTACTGCTCTAATGTCTAGGATTGATAACACAAACGGCTCTCAGTTCCTTTATCCATTTCTGTCAGTTTATTAGATCACATTCTTCCACACTGTTCCAACAATTATTCAAACATATATGAATCATTCTTCAGACATTAGAACTACATCTTCTATTAACACAGCTGTCTTCCTCGACTTCTGGTAAGCAACTGACCACGAGTCCACCTCGGACTCTCACTCATCTACCCGCCCAGCCCCAAGAATCTTGTGTGGTTATTCGTCGCATGGATTTTCCGCTTGGCTCGCTGTGAGCGTGAAGACCTTGCAAAGCAGGGTCATCACAGCTGTGATGTTGTCTTTTCCTAGGTGACCCAGATGTTTATGTGATCATTGCAATGACTTTAGGGTTGGTTTTGTGAACATTGCACTGACTTTAGGGTTGGTTTTGTGAACATTGCACTGACTTTATGGTTGGTTTTGTGAACATTGCAATGACTTTATGGTTGGTTTTGTGAACATTGCAATGACTTTATGGTTGGTTTTGTGAACATTGCAATGACTTTATGGTTGGTTTTGTGAACATTGCAATGACTTTAGGGTTGGTTTTGTGAACATTGCACTGACTTTATGGTTGGTTTTGTGAACATTGCACTGACTTTAGGGTTGATTTTGTGAACATTGCACTGACTTTATGGTTGGTTTTGTGAACATTGCACTGACTTTAGGGTTGATTTTGTGAACATTGCACTGACTTTATGGTTGGTTTTGTGAACATTGCACTGACTTTAGGGTTGATTTTGTGAACATTGCACTGACTTTATGGTTGGTTTTGTGAACATTGCAATGACTTTATGGTTGGTTTTTTGATCATTGCAATGACTTTAGGGTTGGTTTTGTGAACATTGCACTGACTTTAGGGTTGGTTTTGTGAACATTGCACTGACTTTATGGTTGGTTTTGTGAACATTGCAATGACTTTATGGTTGGTTTTGTGAACATTGCAATGACTTTATGGTTGGTTTTGTGAACATTGCAATGACTTTATGGTTGGTTTTGTGAACATTGCAATGACTTTAGGGTTGGTTTTGTGAACATTGCACTGACTTTATGGTTGGTTTTGTGAACATTGCACTGACTTTATGGTTGATTTTGTGAACATTGCACTGACTTTATGGTTGGTTTTGTGAACATTGCACTGACTTTATGGTTGGTTTTGTGAACATTGCACTGACTTTAGGGTTGATTTTGCTGTTTGCAGCTGAAGGACCTGGAGACAGCCAACAAAGAGCTACAGGCGTCTGTGTCTGCTTCCAAAGACTTCCTGAACATGCCCAACAAGTTGGAGACCTTGTCGAACGTGAGTAGAAGCAAATCGTTATGCAGTCTGTCTTCTTCAGTGTGAAGTGGGGGGAAAAAGGGAAGGATTACAGGATCCCTTTGACACCTTCAGGCGTATTGGGCATATCAGGCTACAGCTATATTTATAGACTAATCAGCACTCGATTGGTGATGTGGTCAACATCGCACTAGCTGCCTTTACTTCTCAGGACTCTGCCTGCTGGTACCCATTCAAGGCTGGGTTGACCTGGGAGAAGAGGTCATTTTTGAAATAAAGCCTGGCACTGTTTAGATTCGAACCCATGACCTTCAGATCCGCATGCGAGCATCTAGTCGCTACACCATGGTGGCTTCCACATCTTCTTCCGTGACCCTCATGTAACTATGACCTGCATACTCTGTTCCATATTTAGTGGGGCGACTTGCTTAACTGAATATCTACAGCAAATCGACGGGGGAGTTCTGTAATATATTCTTCTTTGTAGCATTCGCCGCCTTTAAACTCCAGTGGAAAGTTCTAGTTCCTTGTCCGCTGCTGAACTTTCCGGAACTTTAGTTTTTAGTGCACATTATTTTTATGTAGACCGATTCCCTGCTTCTCTGGAAGATGCATTCCAACTTTGAAAGATGCACGCACAAATAGTTTACTTTTTTGACATTCAGGGATATGGGGGCGGTGGTGATAGTCCTCCCCCCGCCCCGCCCTTTTCCCAGATGAGGCTCTGGCACCCACATAGAGACCGGTGATTGTTTTATGAACTAGAATATTCATTGTATTTGCTGATCACTTAGTTAACTAATAAAAGGTGTTTATAAATATAGCATGATATATTTTATTGTTTCAGACATTAGCTTCTTTGGGAAGTGACGTTAGCCGGCTGGACAAAGACACACAAACATTACAGAAGGCTCACTTTGAAGACAGAATAGCAGCACTGGAGGTAGCGGCATTTGTGTTGTTTACATGTTTTGAGTGAAAGTGGTATGGGGAAGGTCAGTTGTAACCAAATGTATTTACATGAGTAAATTTAAGGGTATTGGAACCTTGAACATCTAGCACATCTGACTGGATGGTAGATTGTAACCTTATATGTTTAGCATATGATTGGATTGTAGATTGCAACCTTGCATTTAGCATATCTCATTGAATGGTAGATTGTAACCTTGCATTTAACACATCTGATTAAATGGTAGATTGTAACCTTGTATGTTTAGCATCTGTTTGGATTGTAGATTGTAACCTTGCATTTAGCATATCTGATTGGATGGTAGTTTGTAACCCTGTATGTTTAGTACATCTGATTGGATGGTAGATTATAACCTGCCTTTTTAGTACATCTGATTGGTTGTAAGCTTGTCTGTTCAGTACATTTGATTCTATGGGAGGTAGTCATCTAATTTCTCTTTCTTCTGCTCCTTTCCTCTACCCTTTTCTATGAAGTCCACCATGTTCTGGTTTTCTTTTTAGTTCAGTGATCATTATAATTAAAAAAAAAAAAAAAAAAATCTTGGTCACACCTTTAGTTTGACATTGTCTATAGTTATGATAATTAATTTTAAATAATTTCTGTTAGTATAATTCCACATCAGAGCAGCTGGTGAAACATCTGATTGGTACGAGGGTGCATTCTCTCACCATACCTATTCAATATATGCGCAAAATATATTGAGAAATCTCAAAAATGACCAGACTTGTGACAGTTATGATCCGCTCCAAATTGGTGGCAACCCTATTGCGGAACTCCGCTACGCAGATGACACAGTCCTCCTTTCGAACATCGTAAAGAGAATAGCAAATTTAATATTGTCTGTCCAAAAGCACAGTGAAGATCAAAATCTGTTCTTGAATTTAAAGAAAACGAAAATAATGTCCACAGATAAAACTGGCTGTCACCCAAAAATATCAATAAATGATGAAGAAATTAAAAATGTCACAAACTTTGAATATCTAGGCTCTGTAATAAACAGCAATGGAGACTGTTCGACAGAAATTAAAAGGAAGATCCCCAAAGCAATGCAAAGATTGAACAGCCTTAAAAGTCTATGGTTAAGCACCAGCAAGGAGATAAAAACTAGAATTTTGAGAGCATGCATCTTCCCTGTGGCTACATACGGATGTGAGTTGTGGGCTATCTCTCAGTCCCTAAGAAAGAGAATAGGGGCTTTTGAGCTGAAATTCTATAGAAAGATTCCCAGAATATCTTGGACAAAGAAGATGAGAAATACTATCTTAAAAGATCTGAACTTCAAGGAAGATTGGCTAATAAACAGCATCCTTTCTCGAAAGATGAAATATTTTGGTCATATCAAGCGCTACGACGGATTGGAAAAAATTATAGCAGAAGGCATGGTACCAGGAAGGAGGGGCAGGGGCCACCCGACACGAAGATGGGCACAGGATATAAGTGACTCCTTGAGTGTGAAAGAGCATGAGGTGGGAGAACTGGCGAGAGACTGAGTTTCTTTCAGGCAGACTGTGATGAGAGCGATGTTCTGCAAAGGACCTGCTACATGATGATGATGATGATAATTCCACACCATTTTATATCTGGTTTATCACTGTTACAGATTACTGAAAGTATACAAACTTTTTTTTTATAGGTACCAGAAGTGTTTACTGTCTCTTCCAAACCCCCCCCCCCCCCCCCCCCCTTTTTCCCCTCCCCACTTCCCACTTTTTTTTGTAACATCAGTATAGTAAAATCTGTACTGTTTAATGTATGCTTGTTTGTTTTAATTTTGCTGTTTATTTCACTATCACAATCTAGAAGTCAATGAAGGAGAAAAATGCGACCGCAAGCATGACACCAGACAAACAACTGGTGAGTGTTTGTCCAGACTCGCTCATTGTGCTTTGTGTGTGTACTGTGTCTGTCATGACAGTGTTGTATAGTGTTTTGTCCTGTGTGTGTACTGTGTCTGTCATGGCAGTGTTGTATAGTGTATTGTGCTGTTCGTGTACTGTGTCTGTCATGGCAGTGTTGTATAGTGTATTGTGCTGTTCGTGTACTGTGTCTGTCATGTCAGTCTTGTATAGTGTATTGTGCTGTTCGTGTACTGTGTCTGTCATGTCAGTGTTGTTTGGTGCATTGTGCTGTGTGTGTTTTGTGTTTGTAGCATAGCAGTGTTTAGTGTACTTTGCTGTGTTTGTACTGTCTGTAGCACAGTGCTTTTTAGTGCACTGTGCTGTGTTTGTATTATGTCTTTAGCACAGCACTGTTTAATGCACTGTGCTGTGTTTGTACTGTCTGTAGCACAGTGCTTTTTAGTGCACTGTGCTGTGTTTGTATTATGTCTTTATCACAGCACTGTTTAATGCACTGTGCTGTGTTTGTACTGTCTGTAGCACAGTGCTTTTTAGTGCACTGTGCTGTGTTTGTATTATGTCTTTAGCACAGCGCTGTTTAATGCACTGTGCTGTGTTTGTACTGTCTGTAGCACAACAATATTTAGTGCACTATGCTGTGTTTGAACTGTCTGTAGCACAGTGCTTTTGAGTGCACTGTACTGAGTTTGTACTGTGTCTGTAACACAGCAGTGTTGATTGCATTATACTGTCCTGTAAGACAGCACTGTTTAGTGCCCTGAGCTGTGTGTGTACTGTGTGTCTGTAACACGGCAGCGTTGTTGAGTGCATTGTACTTCTGGTTTAAATATGTTAGCTATATTAGTTGTGTGTGTCAGCAGCCAATGAAAACTTACAGTTTTAGCAAGTAAATGTAGTGTGTAGAATTTAAGGTAGATGAGAGAACTGTAGAAAGCAAGTTGGATGTGTATGGAAGATTATTCAATGTAAGATATATTACAAAACTGTATAACATATATTCACTCATAATGAATCTGTTGTGTTAATTTTCAAGGTAAAAGTAATGTTTAGCCATTTATATCGCATGTTGTAAATTTCAGCACGCCAGCGCTTTTAACACTCCAAAAACATGGAGAAACTGGGTCTAACACACCCCTCTCCCCCTAGAGAGTGCTACAACCTATGTCATAGGCATTATCTTTCTCGGAATAAAAATGTAAATGCAAGACAACCCAGAAAGCAAACAACAGAGTGGGACACACCTGTAAACTCTAGGAAAGTCGACCACCCCAACAAACTTGTGAATGAAACGTGACTTACTTTGTTTGGGGAGACTAACTTAAACCTAACCATTTTTAATCTGCAACGTTTTCAGGAGACCGCCAGTTTCAATGAATCTCTACATTCCGGGCTTCAGAGTCTCCGACAAGAGCTTGACCAGTTCTCGGTATGTTCACTTTGACTTGTCTGTTTGTTGTTGTTGTGCAGAATTGACAAGCAGCAGATTTGCCATGTTCTCAGGTAACTATTGTAGTAAATGAATGCTAAAAATAGCTGTAGATAATTACCTTCATGTTGCAGGTCCCTTACAGGTAACCGTGTAATCACAGTTCCAAGATCATAGCAAACAGGTCACCCATAGTTGTTCCTTTCCTTTGCTCATGAAAACCACATGGAAAACCTATCCCTGGTGAAAACGTTGACAGTGCTGTAGTCTTAGTAAAGGCCACTAGCATGCACCCACATATTAAATGGGTAGGGCAGCCATCAGAAGTGCCAACACAAACAGTCTGACTCTAGAAATGCATTTATCATCGATGGAAGCAGCAGTTACAGCAAATTGGTAGTTGGGTTCCTTAAGGCACCACAGTTTCTATGGCAGCAGGCCACTCACCAGTTTCTGAATCTGCATTTCATTGCACAAACCATGTTGGGCACTGTCGAAAAGCATTCAATATAAAATCTGCATCTATTAGTGTCACACCTTGCACTTAACTCAGTAGCTGGGCGACAGAACTGAATCCTTTCCATCTACATTTAGAGGAAAATCCAACAGCTAACAACTATCCGAAGCAAAAACTTGCCATGGTTAGCCTACCTGTCCCTGTATTGACAGGAAGTCCCGAATGAAGTCCTTTAAAGAGCGTCACTTCTGTGACAGCTTGCCCCAAAGAAACTTGATCCCTTGCCAGCTCTCCCACTTCCTGTCTGTCCAAAAAGTCTCATGACATATGCCCTTTATCTTGCTGGTCGGCCTCTATCCCTTTTACCTGTTACCATGCCCTCTGTCAGGTTCTCTCAAATCTACCTTGACGTTTGATAAGGCTGGCTGTAGGTAGATAAAAGCAGATGTAAACTGCTGGAATAGGCGATGGTAGTTTGATGCTAGTCTTAGCTACAGACCCAGCTGTCTGTTTTTGGTAAATACAGGCAGACCTACAAAAACTTGGAGTTGCCAACTGGAAAGAGATAGCCAGTCACAGAGATGAATGGAGGTGGGTGATATCTGCAGCAGTGAATCTCAGTGGCTCCTAATGCTAACGCAGATGAAGAAGAGTGACTATGTCTGGCAATGATGTAGAGTAAACATAAGGAAAAGGACCCATTTCCACTACTTTCGGGCGTATTAGACATATAGTGCTAGACTTACATGTTATTGACCAATCAGCACTCGAGGGGTTATGTGGTCAACATAACACCTTCTGCCTTTACTTCTTATGACTTTACCTGGTACCCATTTAAGGCTGGGTCGTTTTGGAAGCCACTGTCATTTTGGAAAATAGTTCGGCTTTGTTTGGATTTGAACCCATGACCTTCTTATCTGTAGGTGAGTGTCTAACTGTTACACCACAATGGCTCCGAGTTGATTTGGAGTGGTGATACATTTTCTATGTACACCCAGTTGTTAACTCTTTGAAAATAAAGTTTGTTTGTATGTCTATATAGGCCAGAATCTCAGTGCTGGAAAATGTTCACATCTCAAAAGTTTGTTTGTATGTCTATATAGGCCAGAATCTCAGTGCTGGAAAAGTTCACATCTCAGCCTCGTCCTGCCTCAGACACGGCTTGGGTTACTGAGATAGTCGGCAAGTTACTGCAGGAGAAGGTGAGGCCAACAATGTTTCACTGCTGTTTGTTGCTGATTAACATCTCACCTCACACAGGTACAATTACACTTGATACAGGTACTACTATTACACCTCCTACAGATACAGTTACACAACAGATGGGGTAAAAATACACCTCAGCAACACCTTACACAGTTAAAATTACATCTTGCATAGGTAACAACACCTCGCGCTGGTACAGTTACACCTCAACAACACCTCACACAGTTAAAATTACATCTTGCATAGGTAACAACACCTCACGCCGTTACAGTTACACCTCAACAACACCTCACACAGTTAAAATTACATCTTGCATAGGTAACAACACCTCGCGCCGGTACAGTTACACGTCAACAACACCTCACACAGTTAAAATTTCATCTTGCATAGGTAACAACACCTCGTGCCGGTACAGTTACACCTCAACAACACCTCACACAGTTAAAATTACATCTTGCATAGGTAACAACACCTCGCGCCGGTACAGTTACACCTCATATAGCTAACACAGCACTTCACACAGGTACATTTACATGTCTCAGAGATAACCGCACGTCAGAAAGTTACCATAACACTTCTCAGACAGGTAAGACATCTCACACATGTAACACCCTGCACAGGTAAAATTAAACCTCACACAAGCGACATGATGCCTCACACAGGTGCATGCACACCTCACACAGTTAAAATTACACTCTGTGCTAAAATTACACCTCATGCAGGTGAAATTAAAACTCACACAGGTGCATGCACACCTATCATAGTTAAAATTACACCTTTGTGGTACAATTACACCTCATGCAGGTAAAATTACACATCGTATAATGATTACACCGAGTTTCTTTTTTCTTTTATTAATACCCACAGAGTGTAACACACCACACTTTTTTTTTTTACAAACAACATATCACTGCTACTGTGGCACTACTTTTTAATGTTGTGTCCCCTACAGATGGCCAATATGACAGTTGGTGATCAGGGTGCCTCAAACATCTCCCAGCCCAACCAGGTGACTGCATGTTGATAGGCTTCAGCAATAATGTTATCTTTGATGTGTCTGCTATGGACACAGTACTAGTGGCTGTATCCACATAGTGGTTGTAGATGCTAGACTGATTCTTGACTTATTGCTCTCATTTCTTCCACCTGTCTCATGACCGTTTTATGCCCTCATCTCCTGTCCTATTTTTTTGCACTCATTTCTTCCACCTGTCTCATGACCGTTTTATGCCCTCATCTCCTGTCCTATTTTTGCACTCATTTCTTCCACCTGTCTCATGACCGTTTTATGCCCTCATCTCCTGTCCTATTTTTGCACTCATTTCTTCCACCTGTCTCATGACCCTTTTATGCCCTCATCTCCTGTCCTATTTTTGCACTCATTTCTTCCACCTGTCTCATGACCGTTTTATGCCCTCATCTCCTGTCCTATTTTTGCTCTAATTTCTTCCACCTGTCTAATGACCCTTTTATGCCCTCATCTCCTGTCCTATTTTGGCTCTCATTTCTTCCACCTGTCTCATGACTGTTTGTGCCATCTCCTCTATATCCTGAGCTATTTTTTCTCTCATTTCTTCCACCTATCTCATGACCTCTTTATGCCCTCATCTCCTCCAACTCTTGACCTATTATTGCTCTCATTTCTTCCACCTGTCTCATGACCTCTTTATGCCCTCATCTCCTCCATCTCTTGACCTATTATTGCTCTCGTTTCTTCCACCTGTCTCATGACTGCTTTTTTGCCCTTTTCTTCTATCTCCTGAGCTATTTTTGCTCTCAATTCTTCCACCTGTCTCATGACCTCTTTATGCTCTCATCTCCTCCATCTCCAGACCTATTATTGCTCTTATCTCCTCTATCTCATGACTTTTTACTGCTCTCATTTCCTCTATCTCCTGACCTGGAAGTGCTTTTATTTAAGAAGTTGATGTGCTCACCTGGCATTATTTTGTCTGTTGTTCAGGTGCCAGCAGGTGTCCTCCCCACCGACAAGGGAGAGTTCCTGGCATTCAAGGACGACATGTTAGACAATGTGGAGGTCAGTGTTTCAAGCAGCACTCAGTGTAGATAGCAGTCAGTGTTTCATGCACTTGTAGTCTACTTGTACTGTCAAACTTACCAATGTTGCACTTCAGGAAAATTATAAGTTCTCAGTCTCTAGCAAATGGTAGTGTGAATTCTAATTGTTCCTGTATCTACACCTTCCTCTCAGATGCTGCCTTTAAAGAGAAAACAAATGTAAACGTTTTCCTGCATGATTTACTGGGAGCTGGGGTGGCTTTCATTTAGTTTTTCTGTCTGATTTACTGGGAGCTGGGGTGGCTTTCATTTAGTTTTTCTGTCTGATTTACTGGGAGCTGGGGTGGCTTTCATTTAGTTTTTCTGTCTGATTTACTGGGAGCTGGGGTGGCTTTCATTTAGTTTTTCTGATTTACTGGTAGCTTGGGTGGCTTTCATACAGTTTTTCTGTCTGATTTACTGGGAGCTGGGATGGCTTTCATTTAGTTTTTCTGTCTGATTTACTGGGAGCTGGGGTGGCTTTCATTTAGTTTTTCTGTCTGATTTACTGGGAGCTGGGGTGGCTTTCATTTAGTTTTTCTGTCTGATTTATTGGGAGCTGGGGTGGCTTTCATTTAGTTTTTCTGTCTGATTTACTGGGAGCTGGGGTGGCTTTCATTTAGTTTTTCTGTCTGATTTACTGGGAGCTGGGGTGGTTTTCATTTAGTTTTTCTGTCTGATTTATTGGGAGCTGGGGTGGCTTTTTTTTAGTTTTTCTGTCTGATTTACTGGTGATGGTGCACCTAGAAATTTTGGTTCTGCGTAGCAACAAGAAATCTAGGGTTGCATAGCGATTAGAAAGCTGTAATTGTAGAAGACTTTTTTTTAACATGGGTGGATCTTGTTAGTCACACTCACCATCGTCATGGGCTGTGAATCCTCATAGCACACTATAAAACTTGTATGAAAAGATGGAAAGGTGCCAATACACAGCTTGTTGAAACTGAAAGCATCAGAAATTGCTGTTCCTCAGATCCCTGCCTCCCTCACTTTCCACTCTTTCCTACTAACTCTGCCCACCAACCATCTTTCATTCCTGCCTTTTCTTAACCCTCTTTGCGCCATTCTCTCAGCTCCTCCTGACTGTTCTTTACCCTATCTCTCACTTTCCATATCCCTATTGCTGACGAGTCTCTCAGTCCACCTATACCTCGTGGCTACCTGCAGCTAATTTTATTCCATTGAATCATTCCTCAGAAAATCAACGAGACGGTTGTCATCTTGAACCAAGAGCTGGAAACTATTGCAGCTCATTTGGACAGCCATGACCAAGCTCTCATTAACCTGACTTCAGCCATCCTCAGAGTCGGCAAGGCAGTCACAGACCATAATCCTGGTGATGCTGGGGCAGCGGCCACTAGCAATAACCCACCGACAAGTCTACCAGTGTCCACACCTACAGGGAGTTCACACCAGGAATCCAGTACAGGTTGGGGTGCTCATGTTTTAGGTGTTTGTTCGTCTTGAAAAGTTGATACTGCGGAGATCATTTGTTTTAAATTCTGTTAATGGAGAATTGCGGCCAGATGCTCGCCGCGGATTGGAAGGTCGTGGGTTTGCTCCCTGGAGGAGCTGGACTTTAAAAAAAAAATGACCTTGGCTCTGTGGTCGACCCAGCCTTGAGTGAATACCGGGTGCAGTCCTGGGAAGTAGAGGCGGTCGGCGTGATGCTGATCACATCACCCATCTTGAGCCGATTGGTCTATAAAAATATGTCTAGCCCTATATGCCCTATACATTTAAAGGCGTAGAGAAGAGTCCTTTACTTTTTTTTTACTTGATATAGAATTGATGTGACAAAATTGTCAGGTATATTATATTCCATTAGTGGAGGACTGAGATTTTCAGGATCATTACCCTTACATTGTTAAATGGTTGTAGACCACGGGGCAGACCAAGGAGACGATGGAGAGATAGTATCCAGGCAGACCTACACACTTGGTGTCACTAACTGGGAAGAGAAGGCCAACCAGAGAGATGAGTGGAGGCTGGTGATATCTGCAGCAGTGAGCCTCAAGGGGTTGGAGTCGCTGAAGAAGAAGAGGAATGAGTTTTACATTGAATTAACAGAGAATTGATGTAGCCAGAATCGGCATTCGTATGTTCCATTTCACTGTGTGGGTTCAAGGGTGCCGTTGTGGGAACACGAAAATCGACCCACTGCCCTCTATCAATCATGTAGTGAAGGGCTACTTATTAGTGCATCTGCCTGAGAGGCGAGGGACCAACAGTCTGCATACAAATAAGGTAGATCTTTAAAATGGTCATGCACACACAGCTCAAGTTCTGGAACAGGACTGAAGCCCAGAAGTGGATGAACAACCAGAACTTTACCACCGGAGTTTACAGCCAGTGAACGCAATCAAAGAAAGAAGAAAGATATTTGATTAATGGAGAATTGCTGTAGCCACCATCATATTTTATGATACCTTAACCTGCCAGGGAGTCGCTATAGTGTAGTCTCTTGTCTGCGCATCCATAGCTCGCGGTTCAGATCCTGACGGAGCGAGACGTTTTGTCAGGAATGACTTTGGCTCCTAATGGTTCCCAAGTAAACAAGATTCATTGATCCCGCTTATTTTCGAAGGTTTGCCATGGTATTCATAATTTGTTATAATTATTGTAAAATAAAAAATTAAAAGAAACAATAAAAATAAATGGTAACAACAAAACAAAAACTGAGGGTTGAGATTTAAAAGAAATATGCTACCATGGACCTCTTAAATTTGTTTGCTGATCACCAGTTGAGAACCACTGTTCTAGAGGATTCACAGCAAAAATATCACCATTACGTTTGAACAACGGATCAACTTCATGACACGCCAGTAGTGACCCATAAGTGCTCCGTTCTTCTTCTAACTCAGGTCTGAGTAGAAAAGCTCAGCACAGTGCACAGGCTCTGTGGCACCGGCAAGGATCCTGAAAAATTTTAGGTAGATTTTTTACTCTAAATTTTGCCCGGGTAGCGTCGTTGGGCTACTCTTTTCGATTTCCAACTGCCAGGGGATTTTTTACGTGTGCAACAATGCACACGGGCGTCTGATCTCACTACCCAAAGACCAGGGAAATTACTAGAAGTCCAAGTCCACGTGAAAAAAATCCCAGCCCTTACCGGGGATTGAACCCGGAACCTCTAGCACTTGAGGTGGACACCATGCCTTGAGACCATGCAACCCCCTACCATTACACATGACATAGATAAGGTTGCACCTCACATGTATAACTTCAACACTACACAGGTTATACTTTACATAAGTAGCGTTGCATTTAATCTCAAAATACTCATATATACTGCCAAGAATGTAGGAGCACCTAATAATTCTTGTGATAATTACAGCCATATTTCTACATTCAAATTTCTACTATCAAATAACATCCAGAAATTAACTATCATCTAGGAATTGTTGAATTGTAAAGATAATCTTCATTTATTTTTTTTTAACAGCACCACCTGTATTAAAAATTAAAGGGATAAATTCTTTGGAAGGTAAGATTTTGTTTTCCAGTAATTTTTAATACCATCTTCTCCACCTCATCTTAATTGTTATTCTTCTCCTCTCAGTCTTATTTGTCCACCTTATTCTTTCTAATGGAGCGCAAACCCCTAAAAATACCCTTGCCAGTTATCCTACATTTGTAGTTTGCATGTCTTTCCCATATGAGACATTTGTCTCAGGTGAAGAAGCTCTCTTTTCAACTTTGCTGGCTGAGTCGGTTCTCTTGTCTTTACTGTGTATTTATTGTCATGGTGCAGAGGATAATGGATCCTTAAGGACATTCTCTACCCTAAGGTCATTTTCTGTGTTAAATTGCAGATGGGTAGAAGATGTTGAAAGTGGCCTCTGCTGCAATATAAAGATGTGTGCTAGTGGGGCATGAATGATACAGGTATTGATGTAGATTTGTGGAAACAAAATGCCATTGGCTGTTAAGGGAGTAGGAGGAAGGAGAAAAACAATTATCGCATCAAGGTTGAGAGCTAAGTGAAGAAGCACACTAATTACGTATGATAGTAACAACAGTCCTGAAATCCCACGCCTCTAGTAATGTAGGCATGTCTTGCTCGTCACACTTGCCATCGCCATGGGCTGTGATTTCCTATGCCACCCCAACATAATACTGTCACCTGGAAAGATGGAGAAATGCCAGTCTTCTTCTTCTCCGCGTTCACCAGCTGTACACTCTGGCGGAAAGTTCTGGTTGTTCATCCACTTCTGAACTGCAGTCCTGCTCCAGAACCTGTGTTGCGTGTACATCAGTTTTACAGATCTGATTCACTTGAACCAGACGGTTGGTTCCTTGCCTCTCAGGTAGATGCTCTCCGACTTCAAAGGAAGCTCCCCAATTAGTCGACTCTTACGACATGCTTTTGGGTAGGCAGAAGGTCTATTCTTGTTTTCCCCACTATGGGGCCCCAGAACCCACACGGGGAGGTGAAATGCTAGTAATTGTCATGATGCAGCAGGGAGAAAGCAGATGATCTGGCCAACACTCAGGGAAGAAGCAAGATAGACATACAGTTAGACTGCTGTTGGTATCTATCGGAATTGGAACTTATGAGGTGGCTGTTGAAGACAGAGATGGATATCATTTAGAAGAATATGTTGAGTGCTGTAGCTTGCTTACTTAGATCTTGTCTTTATTGTTCTCTGTGTGGGTTCCTGAGCCATGCTGTGTGGAAAAACAGTAGACCCACTGCCCCTCCACCCCCCCCCCCCCACAAGCATGTCATCAAAGTAGAATAATTGGGGGGGGGGGGGGGACCTTCTTCAAAGGCAAGGTGCATCTGCTTGAGAGATGAGGACCCCTAACAAGCATGTCCTATAAGTAAACTACTTGGGTGGGGTTCCTTCGAAGTCAAGGTGCATCTGCCTGAGAGATGAAGACGCCTAACAAGCATGTCCTAAAAGTAAACTACTTGGGTGGGGTTCCTTCGAAGTCAAGGTGCATCTGCCTGAGAGATGAGAAACCAAGAGTCTGCATTTCAAGAAGCCAAATGTGTAAAGTGAATGTGCATGCAGAACTCAAGTTCTGGAACGAAACAGAAACTTGCCCCCTGGAGTTTACTATTAGTGAACACTAAGAAAAGAAGAAACTTTTACTATTAGCTTGTTCGTGATTTGCAGCTTGGATGGGACAGTCAGCCCATGATAGCTCTCATGAGTTCAGTTGTGTGTAGTTTGTGATAAACATTTGTAACACTACTGTTTTGCCTTCATTACTGCCTAAGTGAATTGTGCTGTCATCTTTGAAGTTCAGTGTTAACTGTGCAAGGGTCAGTGTTTATGTAAGTTGGGAAGTTATGTAATATGTTACCTGTGTGACATACTGTTACCTCTGAGAAATACTGTGTAACATAATACTGTTACCTTAATGACTTGCTGTTAACTGTCTGACATCTGTTATCTGTGTTACATACTGTTATCTGTCTGACATACTATTATATGTATATCATAATACTTTACCTTTATGACATGCGGTTATCTGTGTGACATGCTGTTGTCTGTGTGACATACTGTTATCTGTGTGACATACTGTTATCTGTGTGACATACTGTTATCTGTATGACATACTGTTATCTGTGTGACATACTGTTATCTGTGTGACATGCTGTTATCTGTGTGACATGCTGTTATCTGTATATCATAATACTTTACCTTTATGACATGCGGTTATCTGTGTGACATGCTGTTGTCTGTGTGACATACTGTTATCTGTGTGACATACTGTTATCTGTGTGACATACTGTTATCTGTATGACATACTGTTATCTGTGTGACATACTGTTATCTGTGTGACATGCTGTTATCTGTGTGACATGCTGTTATCTGTGTGACATACTGTTATCTGTGTGACATACTGTTATCTGTGTGACATACTGTTATCTGTATGACATACTGTTATCTGTGTGACATACTGTTATCTGTGTGACATACTGTTATCTGTCTGACATACTATTATATGTATATCATAATACTTTACCTTTATGACATGCGGTTATCTGTGTGACATGCTGTTGTCTGTATGACATACTGTTATCTGTGTGACATACTGTTACCTGTGTGACATTCTGTTGCCTGTGCTTTCAGATCTGCACAAGGCTTTCAACAGCAGCTGGCCTGTAGATAAGGGTCAGCTGGATGTTGGTCTGCTGGAGGAAGATGGTAGCCCCATCAACAGGTCCCAGTATAAGCAGTTTGACTTTGACCACAACGGTTTGTTCAATGAGGAGGAGTTGGCCGTCGCTTTAGGTTTCCAGCATAATCCTAGATGTGAGTACTTGTCTCCCTGTCTCGTGTGGGCACATGTCTGCCTGTCTCAAGTGGGTACATGTCTGTCTGTCTGTCTTATGTGAGCACATTCCTGCCTGTTTTGTGTGAGTGCATGTCTGTCTTGTGTGGGCACATGTCTGCCTGTCTTGTGTTGGCACAAGTCTACCTGTTTTGTGTTTGCAAATATCTGTCTTTCTTAAATGAGCAAATCCCTCCCTGTCTTGTGTGAGTGCATGTCTGTCTTGTGTGAGCACATGTCTGTCTTGTGTGAGTACATGTCTGTCTTGTGTGGGCACATGTCTGTCTTGTGCAGGCACATGTCTGTCTTGTGTGAGTACATGTCTGTCTTGTGTGAGTACATGTCTGTCTTGTGTGGGCACATGTCTGCCTGTCTTGTGTGAGTACATATCTGTCTTGTCTGGGCACATGTCTGTCTTGTGTGAGTACATGTCTGTCTTGTGTGGGTACATGTCTGTCTTGTGTGAGTACATGTCTGTCTTGTGTGAGTACATGTCTGTCTTGTGTGAGTACATGTCTGTCTTGTGTGGGCACATGTCTACGTGTCTTGTGTGAGTACATATCTGTCTTGTCTGGGCACATGTCTGTCTTGTGTGAGTACATATCTGTCTTGTCTGGGCACATGTCTGTCTTGTCTGGGCACATGTCTGTCTTGTGTGAGTACATATCTGTCTTGTCTGGGCACATGTCTGTTTTGTGTGAGTACATGTCTGTCTTGTGTGGGCACATGTCTGTTTTGTGTGAGAACATATCTGTCTTGTCTGGGCACATGTCTGTCTTGTGTGAGTACATATCTGTCTTGTGTGGGTACATGTCTGTTTTGTGTGAGTACATGTCTGTCTTGTGTGGGCACATGTCTGTTTTGTGTGAGAACATATCTGTCTTGTCTGGGCACATGTCTGTTTTGTGTGAGTACATGTCTGTCTTGTGTGGGCACATGTCTGCCTGTCTTGTGTGGGCACATGTCTGCCTGTCTCATGTGGGCACATGTCTGCCTGTCTCATGTGGGCACATGTCTGTCTTATGTGAGCACATGTTTGTCTTATATGAGCACATCTCTGCCTGTCTTGTGTGAATGCATGTCTGTCTCGTGTGAACACATGTCTGCCTGTCTCATGTGGGCACATATCTGTCTTGTCTTATGTTAGAGCATCCCTGCCTGTCTTGTGTGAGTGCATGTCTGTCTCATATGAACACATGTCTGCCTGTCTCATGTGGGCACATGTCTGTCTTGTCTTATGTTAAAGCATCCCTGCCTGTCTTGTGTGAGTGCATGTCTGCCTGTTTTGTGTGGGCATATATCTGTCTGTCTCATGTGGGCACATGTCTGTTTGTTTTATATCAAATCCCTGCCTGTCTTCTTGGAGTGCATGTCATGTCTTGTATGGGCACATGTCTGCCTGTCTTGTATGAGTATATATCTGTCATCTTGTGTGGGCACATGTCTGTCTGTCTTGTATGAGTACATATCTGTCATCTTGTGTGTCTTGTGTGAATGCATGTCTGTCTCGTATGTGAGCACATGTCTTGTGTATGTTGTGTGAATGCATGTCCACCTTTGTGTTTCTAGTATGTTGTTGACACTGGTACTTAAATATTGTATTCTGATTCTGTTATTTTCAGAATGATTACCATCATCATCATCTAGATCCTTCTCTGACTGTAGTCGACTGCCAGCAGTACTCAGGTGGATGCTATCAGTTTGTGCAAACTTGAACAAGTTGTTCTGAATGTTTGTGTCACTCTTCTCTCTCCCACTTTCCCTTTTCACGGCGAACCTTGAGACTACAGAAGCCATCTTTGATTGTAGGGATTTCTATTTTATGTCTTCTACTGGAGTTTCTGGGTCCTTCCTGCTTTCAACTTTGATTGCATAGACCATGTTTTTCTCTAAAAAAAAATATGACTCAACCCAAACATAGGACTCAAAACAAAAATAGGACTTGCTTGGAATATAAGCCATAGTAAGATTTTTTTCAGGTTTGTAAAAAAAAGCTTTACCCCAGAAATGAATATATGTCCCTAGATAAGACAGCCATCCAGACTGTATTTGTTATTGCACACTTCTCAACCGGACCAGTCTCTCACTGTATATAGTAGTTATTTATATTTTCTTTGTGTATGGATGTATTTCTGATTGTGTGTTGGATCTGCTGTGATAAACATGGAGCATTGTGGGGGCATTATAAACACATCAGGTCATGTGAGAGAAGTATCATTTGTCAGACCAGAGATCAGAAGTTGTTTGCATTACGTTAGCATCTGTATATGCAGGGGTCTGTTGGGGGGTCAGGCAGATTTGATCTGTCCTGGACACTGGTTCGGTCAATCGGACCTGGAACTGGATCTAACATAGACACTAGATCAGTCCTCAGTGGGTCAGTCGGTTAAACCTGGATCTAACATAGACACTAGATCAGTCAGTCCTCAGTGGGCTAGTCGGTTAAACCTGGATCTAACATAGACACTAGATCAGTCAGTCCTCAGTGGGTCAGTCGGTTAAACCTGGTTCTAACATAGACACTAGATCAGTCAGTCCTCAGTGGGTCAGTCAGTTAAACCTGGATCTAACATAGACACTAGATCAGTCAGTCCTCAGTGGGTCAGTCGGTTAAACCTGGATCTAACATAGACACTAGATCTGTTCTCAGTAGGTCAGTCAGTTAAATCTGGATCTATCATAGACACTAGATCAGTCCTCTGTAGGTCAGTCGGTTAAACCTGGATCTATCATAGTCACTAGATCAGTCTTCAGTAGGTCAGTTGGTTGGACCTGGATCTATCATAGACACTAGATCAGTCTTCAGTAGGTCAGTTGGTTGGACCTGGATCTATCATAGACACTAGATCAGTCTTCAGTAGGTCAGTCGGTTGGACCTGGATCTATCATAGACATTCCTTCTTCAGTAGGTCACTCGGTTGGACCTGGACCTATCATAGACACTAGATCGGTCTTCAGTAGATCAGTCGGACCTGGACCCATCATAATCAGTGGTCAGTCGGATCAGGACCTATCGTGGAAATGGTCAGTTATCAGTTGGTCAGTCAGATCTGGACCTATCTGGACACTATATCATCATCAGTTGGTGTTAAAATCGTAGAGCTGTTACAAATACTTTGTCAGTGGTGGTCAGTTAGTCGGTCAGATCTGGATGTATCATGGACAATAAATCATTTGTCAGTGAGTTTTAAATCATAGATCTACCACAGATACTGGGTCACCTACTAGGGCAGTCAGATCTGACTGGACACTAGATCAGTTATCATTGAGTGTTGAAATCATAGCTCTGCCACGGACACTGGGCCACTTGTCAGTGAGATCTGGACCTATCATGGACACTAGATCAGTTATCATTGAGTGTTGAAATCATAGCTCTGCCTCGGACACTGGGCCACATGTAAGTGAGATCTGGACCTCGCATGGACACCAGATCAGTCATCAGCAAGTGTTGAAATCATAGCTCTGCCATGGACACTGGACCAGTTGTCATTGGCCTTGAGGACACTGGACCAGTTGTCATTGGCCTTGAGGTGTCATTTTGTCACTGTCATGTTCAGTTTTCCTTCAATTTCACGGAGACTGTCTCAAAGTCACATGTGATGCTTCTTGAATGTCTGTCTGCATGATCAGCTTATGTGTCTGTTTGAGGTCAAATTAGATGTCTGCCTGATGAGCTTATGTGTGTCTTTCTGGGATCAAATTAGGTGTATGTCTGATCAGCCGTCTATTTTAAAATGTAATGCCTGTCTGAGATCATACTGGATGTCTTTGATAAAATTGGGTGTCTGTCTGTAATTATACTGGATGTCTTTGATAAAATTGGGAGTCTGTCTCTAATCATACTGGATGTCTTTGATAAAATTAAGGGTCTGTCTGTAATCATACTGAATGTCTGTGATAAAATTGGGTGTCTGTCTGTAATCATACTGGATATCTTTGATAAAATTAGGGATCTATCTAATCATACTGGATGTCTCTGATAAAATTAGGTGTCTGTGATCTGGTGTCTGCGATCAAATTAGGTGGCTGTCTGTGATCAGATTGAGGGTTTGTCTGTTAACAGCTTGGCTGTATGTCTGAAATGCATTTTTGAAATCCTGTCAACTCTCACACTTGTGGTGTTGCCCTTGCAGTGTAACATTGTGGCCATAGCAGCCTGACACAAGAATATGACGTGTCAGCTATCATAGGCATATCTGACATGTGTCACATGTTTGTTTGACGCAAGAATGTGACGTGTCAGCTGACACAATGATATCTGACAGATGTCACATATTTGGTAATTTGACACAAGAATATGACGTGTCAGCTGACATGAGCAAGTCTGGTGTGATTGTCTATATTTTTTCTTCGACACAGTTACTTGTAGAATTGTTATAGCCAGGTAGATTAATCCACCGGTGCGTGCTCACAGTTTTAGAAAAGGGTTTATGGAATTAGATGTTATGCAATGTTCTATCAGTCAAGTGATATTTGATACACTTATTCATACATGCTTACCTTTTGTAGAAATGTTTTTGTATGTTGCTCATACCACCAAATTATTGTTTGCGGATATTATCACTGTTTCTGTGAATTCATACATTTGAGAATACTTCTTATTCTTCTTTGCGTTCGGTTTTGTATGCTCAGATGAGACCATCAGGTGGGTTGCCTCTGTGAACTTGCATGTCAGTAGCAGGTCCTTCATGGTTCCCCAAATCTTGCTCTGCACACTTTGCTCTTGAGGCCAGGTGTCTTTTCGAAGTTGTAGGTAGAGTGGGCAGGTCTGCAGAATGTGCTGAGCTGTTTGTGGTCCTCTTTGACAGGCATTCGGAGTGTACACAAAGATGTACAGATGAAAAGAGGGTTAAGAGAGAAAGAGTGATTGGATCTAGAATTGACATCACTGTACTCATGGCATTTTCCATTCATGCCCCTTCCCCTTCTTCAGCAGCAGCCGGTGAAGACTTTCTATACTGATAGTGTCAGTTGTGACATG